TTTCACAACATTTCAATAGGAAAAATCGTGACAACTCAGTCTGGTCTATGTTTCACAACCAAACACGCGAGAAGTGTTACAGGAAATAACTTGAGATCACGTGTGAGACAGGAGTTCTTGCGTGAGACTGGATTTCTTCCTGTTAAAATGATAGCCTGCAAAAAGCTTGCGATCCAAGTTGTCTATGCACTGATATGCAATGAAAATGAGAAAAAAAGAGAAGAATATGAAGGAGAGAATGGTTGCTTTCAGAAGCCATGCTTGCTGATGTTCTGTTGCAGATCTATGACGACTCCTGAACTTTCCCTCGCCCTGTATCTTGCTCTCTCATTTGCATTAGGTCATCGCCGATGTCATCTCTAATCAAAACACATTTCACACTGCAGGACTAAATGTCTCACGGGCATCTGCAACGCATCACCTTTTCTCTCAGATTTGATTATACACACTATGGGATTGTCACTCATGTGAATGAACACCGTTTTGTCTCTGATTTTGGGCATTTGTCTGCGATTTCCACACAACTGTCGGTGAGTTAAAATTGGGGCTAAAATTAAAGCTGCCGTCGGCAACATTTTTTTGATCATATTCAGTGAAATAGACACTATAATCCGACAGAACAACATAAATAAAGTGGTTTTAGAAAAAAACCCGAGCTTCTAACTCCACCTGGAGCGTGTTATTTGTTTTGCAAAAATCCACAGCTCCCGGATCATCGGGTCCAATCAGCGCAGGGGGGTGTGAGATCTGACTGTCAATCACAGATCAAGCACACGCCACCCCTCGCGCACGTTACAATCACATGCACACGCCGGAAGTTCGCGCAGTAACGAAGAGTGATGGCGGATGTATCTCGCTTTCAAAACACTAACACATCAAGTAAGCTCATTTAGAGTATAAATGACATTAGCAATTGCAATCTATCGGTAGATTAGCCAGGGCAGCATACCTCCAAATACTCCATGTTGTTGATGGATGCTGATGAGACGGGCGGGTTCACAGATAACCTGGTGCACACGCACTGACGAGCACGAACTCGGTGGGAGGGTATCTGTTGATAGTGGGGGGGAGGGGCATGAGAGTTGTAAACATTCAAAATCTTGCCTAAGTCCACTCAATCTGCCAGACTTGCCGACTGCAGCTTTAACACTGACGGAAATAATGTTTCACCAGAAAATAACCATTACTCAGTCTTCAGCGTCACATGATCCTTCAGAAATCATTCTAATATGCTGATTTGCTGCTCATGAAACATTTTTGATTATTATCAGGATACTTTTTTTTTAGGATTCTTGGATAAATATATACGTAGATGCACCCACATAAACACACTCTGACATGACCTTCCTTGATTGCAACATTCTGGATTTATTTAACAGGCTTGTGTTTGTGATGTGAAGTCTTTAAGTGGCGTCTTAACTTTTTTGACTTCATATTGTCAGAAGTTAATATATTGAGGCACGCAACACACTCTGGTTTCTCGTCATTACCCCGTTGTTCTGGTGAATCTGAGGGCGAGATAAGCCTCGCCATATTTTCTTGTCTTTTCACTGCACCGGGCGCGACTGCCGCACTGCGCCGCAACAGCTTGAGGCTGTCTACTGGAAGTGACAAAGCGAAAGTTGCAAATCAATTTGTCCTTCGTGTCAGAGCGATGGGCATGTCAGAAAAAGAACGGCGTCAGTTTACTGTCTGGGGTTTGTAGTGTCGTGCTTCATCCAGTAGAAAGCATCACTGATTATAATGGATTGGTTCTACTTCTAGACACGTTGTTTTGGTATTTGTGAATATGAAGTAGATTCATTACCTGCTTTACATTTACCTGGCACTAGCAGTCCTTTCACAAACTTGTCCATGCTTGGTGCATAACCATCCGTGCATCATTCTTCTTTTATATTTATACACATCTGCCTGATTCTTTGATCGCGCAATCTAGTGGTCTGTTATCGCACGACTACAACCTATACAGACCGCTCAAGCGGGTACTGCTAGTCATCTTGAGGTAATAAAATGTCAAATTAATATTTTGTGTTCAATTATGTTCTTATGTGGCAAGTAGCCGGATAATAAGTGGGATAATTATGCAGTGGGGTCTTGTATCACCCTGAAGAGGTTTATTTTACATAACAATCTGCTGACTGTCCACTATCCCAGAAAGCAACATAGTGTCGACCCAGATCCGACCCACATCTGTTACATGTGGATTCAACGCATACCGGATGTGGACCGTAGAGTTGCCATGCTCCCCAGTTTGGGAACCACTGTTGTAATGTTACTGAATTTGGAGTAATCTAAATGAGCAACCGTGTGCCTGAGGGTGCTAATTTGCATAAAGGATACAAATGTATACAATACGATGCCTTTATGATCTTTGTGGTCTTGGTTACCTGGACCTTCAGTGGGGATTCATTAAAATATGTATTTTTAAGATTAACGAAAGTCTTTTTGTAAAAGAGTTTGGACTGACGTGGGTGAGTAAATGATGACAGAATTAAAAAATGTTGGCATTTTTTTATTTTTACACACAGTTATCTTCAAGATTTTTGTATTTTAACACATTTATAAGGCCACCAAAAGTATGTGATTTTTGCATATGTGTGGTTTCAGTACGAATCTAATTTTAGTACAAAAGTATTTATCAATTTGTTTTTGAAAATGTTCATACCACGATATCACAAATTTGTGCGTACATGTATGTACGGTTAGTGAATGTAACCCAGTGTCTGTACTTGTTTTGTAGGGTGGATGAGGACGAGGAAATCATTGTTAAAGCGATGACCGATTACTGGGTTGTTGGAAAGAAGTCTGATCAGAGAGAGTTGTATGTCATTTTGAACCAGAAGAATGCCAACCTCATTGAAGTGAATGGTATGCTAATTTTATTCACCTAACAATGAAGTGATATAATGGTGTGAGACTGTTTAAAATCTACTAGTTAACATTTAATCACAGTTTTTTAAGTTTATTAAAAAGTTAGTGTGTTGAAAACCTTTCTTTTGACCTTAACTCTCACCAAGCTTCTATTTGTGTTACAGAGGAAGTGAAAAGGCTGTGTGCAACACAATTCAATAATATTTTTTTCTTGGACTGAAGAGATATGATGGGCATGGACTACTTCACTACACTAAAACTGTCAACAGTTCAGGTTTTACTGACAGCATCAGTGTAATGCAATAATTGCATTGTAAAAAAAAAGAAAAAGATTTTTCACATCATGCAATTTTTTAGATTTTTATTTAATCTATACAGAAATGTGGTTGCTTGTAATTAATTATAAAATCTGAATTTTACTGTAATTACCTCTTTTCATTTGTTTGTATGTACATATTGTCATGTTTAAGTATCCATCAGCTATCCTTTCTTTTGTTTCATTCCCATTGTTCAGATTTGTTTTATCACTTACAGATACAATTAGAGGGTGAAATACGCACTGATGAAATTCAGAATATGAATCTGTCGAGATATGTTTTCTCTTGTTTTAAATGTCATCAGCACCATGGTTTAACACCTATTACTTAAAAATAAATTTACAATTTCATTAAATGTAGGTTGCTTTTCTTCTTCAAATATACTTAAAAGAGATTCCAAGCCTCTGACTGCCTCATGCTGATTAAGACATGGGTTTCATGAAACATATCTGGTTCGGATTTTCTCTCGATAATTCATTATAAGTTCATCTTTCATGTAGCCTTTAAAGTGGTAGAAGTACTTGATCCTGGTTTATAATGATTTGCATACTTATAATTTAGTGTCACAACCAGTAGTTTTATGATTTAGAAGTGGTTAGCCTGCAAAGGGAATGTTCTATGATAAAAAATGATTAACCTTATGACTTGGGAAGAATTATGAGCTAATTGCATCATGCAAACCACCAGAATGTATGATTATATCTAGACAGCTGGTCAGGGTGATCCACCTTGACTTTTATCCTCAGCAAGAGGCTTACCTTTCTGAATACAATCAATCAAAATAATAACGGACAGAGCAACATGTAACGTGCATGCGATTTATTTATTTATTTTTGGAATGTAATGGATTAATCGTCTGTAGCAGTGCCAAAAGAAAATCACCTTTGAAATGTCCTAGACAGCTGTTGAATTAAAGTAATAACATCGTGTACAGAGTGACTCTACTACAGATATATTAGATATACTACAAAAAATATATATATTATTTTGACTAAATAAGAGGGATCATACAAAATGCACGTTACTTTTTATTTAGTACTGTCCTGAATAATATATTTTACATAGATGTTTGCAGTCCACAAGACAAAAAAAAAATGTATTTATAAATGTATTTCTTACATAGCCTTGATTCTTATTAATATGAGTCATTACCTGGATGATCCACGATTGTTTTTGTGATAGCTGTTCTTGAGTCCCTTGTTTGACCTGAGCAGTTAATCTGTCCAACGTTCTTTAGAAAAATCCTTCAGGTCCTACAAATTCTTCAGTTTTCCAGCATCTTTTGCATTATGAACCCTTTCCAGCAGTGTCTGTATGATTTTGAGATCCATCTTTTCACATTGAGGACAATTGAGGGATTCAAACACAACTATTACAAAAGGTGAAAACATTCACTGATGCTCAGAAGGAAAGATGCATTTAAAGCCAGGGGGTGCTCCGGACAAACAAAGGACTCAAGGACAACCATAAAAAAAAAACAGTTGTGGATCATCCAGGTAACCACACAGAAATAAGAATCAAGGGTATGTAAACTTTTGAATGGGATCATTTTTATAAATACAGCTTTTGTTTTGTCTTGTGGACTATATGTAAACATGTTTAAAAATATCTTATTCAGGACAGTACTAAATAAAAAATAGCATGCATTTCGTATGATACCCTTTTATTTTGTTAAAATAACATTTTTTTCTGCATGTAAATTTAGATTAGACCAGTTGTCATGATTTGCGAATGGGAGGCGCATAACTCGTCATCTAAATTTGACCAATCAACGGAGGTTTTTGTGTTGGGGAGCAGCCAATCAGAAGAGCTGTATTTCAGTTTCAAAACTTGGATTGCCCGCCATCTTGCAAGTCCGCCTAGGACAGTTAAACGTTTGTTTACTGAATAGATAGATATTGCGAATTATTTAGTCTCCGGATTAAACGTTCTTGACTCCCGTAAACCCACCTTAATATAAAGGTAAGAAATAGCTCCTTTTATTTCTGTCACAGGGTTTACAATTAAACTTAGTTTGTCATTGCGTACGACTTCCAAACATGCTAAACGTGAGGTTTGTATAGTGAGTAGCAGCTAAGTTAAAACTGTGATCATGTGTTGTTGCTGCTGCTGCGTTGCGTCAGGAAAGATAATATTTGAATTTTATATTATAAATGTGAATAAAGATTTGGTTCGGAATTTACTTTTTACAAATGACATCTTGCCTATAACTAAGAAATGAACATCTATTTAGTTGTATTTGTTTTGTTTTTACCTAAAACATTGTGACAGGATGCTCTGAGAATGAAAATTACATGAAGTCAGAATCAAATAAATGAAGTATATATATGTATATATATAACACTAAATGTTACATTGACCTCATCCGTGTTTTTGATACCAGGTCAGCAAAAAAAAAAGGAATTAAAGAGTTTCTTTGATGTCAACAACAAACGTGAAAGCGTTTAATCTCACTTGTAAAATTTGATAAGTCTATTTATTCTTAAACTGTCCTAACTATTAAGCAAAAATGGTTATGGTTATAAAATGGTTATACGGTATTAGGTCTATTTTTAGAGCAAATGCAGAAGTAGAAGTAAATGAGACCAGTTTAGAACATTATAAACCTAGTCAATAATAGTACGTTATGTTAAGTCTAACCAACTAGCTACTAGTAGTTTGTCAAATTAGACAATACGCCTGTTTAAGTAACTTGCTTAAAGTTATAGCCAGTTTTAAAGGAAAAAAATTTGACTTGTAAGACTGGTCTAACTTGGTTTATGCAACCGACCACTGCAAACAAGTTTTGGGTCACGACCCACCACCAATAGAGAACCACTGCTTTAGGTAATTGACTAGGGGTATAACGATACACAAACCTGACGGTTCGGTTCGTCCCACGGTTTTGAGGTCTCGGTTCGGTTCGGTTCATTTCGGTGGGGTGGGGTGGGGTGGGGGTGGGGGTGGGGGGGGGGGGGGGGAAAGCTAAAATTGCTTTTCTTTTTTATTAAACAGTGCTTTAATGAACAAATTGTGTCCTTGTCTTTAAATTAATTCAATTTCAAGTAAACGTTTCTCAAGGATAACAAAATTATCTGCTAATGCTGTAAACTACAGCCCTTACTTGCACTTTACTATAACATTAAAGCTTAACAACAGAGCCTAGACTTTTAGCCTAAATGATATAATAATAATCAACACTCAAATAACAAATTGTATGAAAACATGTAAACTGCATAAGGCAATTTTTGCATTAACATGTTTTTACTCTAATTTGTTATTGTTATATAATAATTTACACAGTTGCTGTTATTTTCATGACAACTATTTTAAACATACATTAAATAATCAAGATATCATAAACAGGTTAAGTAAAATATAATATATAGGCTAATACATAGCATTTATTTAATGAAAGAGTTAGCAAACCAGCAAGCTGTGGACACTGAATGACTTGCCTGAGGTAAATATAAAGCTATGTGAAAAACTAAGCGTTTTATTGACGTATTTCCGCTGTTGAAACACTGATTGAGTGTTTACACGAGTTATGATGCCTTTCAGTAAGTATACTGTATCTTTCAACATACCTTCGGGTGTCCATTCATGTTTATTCTGTAACTGAGGAAGAGATGATCGCGCTCCGCGCTGCCGCATGCATACAGTGATATCTGTCACGCCACATCTAAGAGCGCCAAAACGGCATTTATTGTTTGCATTTCGTGATCAAATAGACATAATTTGAAAGATTACACCTTGCTTATTATCAAAAGTAACAAAACACTGAGCTTATTGCGATTATATGTGGTTAATGGTGGTTAGGCAACAGCCCTGTATTCGTTGTGTACACAACACATGAGGTGCAATGAGCTGGGGCTGGGTGGGGCAGCAGGGGGCGGGGCGTGTTCGGTTCGCCATGAGAGTATCGCGATACGTATCGTGGGTGGTGTATCGCGGTTTTTCGGTTCGGTTCAAATATCGTTACACCCCTATAATTGACTGTTCTTGTTGTGAAAACTCTTGTAGGATGGACTCTCGCTTCGCTCACCTGTACAAGCGGGACAGCAGTGTGTCTATGATCAGGCTTAAGATGTCCAGACGTCGGTCTCAATCACAGAAAGAAAACCGAGAGAAGATCCAAAATCTGCGCAGGCACCTCGACCAGCTGCCAGAGATCGAGCTCTCAATGGATGCATCCAGCATCATGGCCACCCAAGACCAAGCAGCCAAAACAAAGACAGCTAATGGTTAATATCGTAGTTAGTTTTGTTGTTTGATTTTGTGTTGGGATGGCCTTGTTTTGAAGTAGTTATAATTGTTCTTAACAGATGCAAATGCTGCTGCTGCTGAGGAGAGGAAGAAGATGCTCACTCGCTATAAAGAAAACAAGATGTTGCAGAAAGAGAAGGAAAAGCGGGAGAAAGAAAAGAAAGGCGTGTTTAAGGTCGGCCTGTATAAGCCTCAGCCGCTCGGGTATCTACCTTCCAACATTGCTGCACCAGGCAGAGGCAAGGTGAGTGATGGGAATATCAGTTTGAAAAGCCAGTCTCAGACTATAATGAAGAATACTATCAAGTTAAAAAAGATCGTATTTACGAGTTGATTGCACATGGAGTGAACGCCACCACAAAGTCGTAAATACGAGTGGGAAGCTCTGGATTTTCTTAAAGCCCTGATCTTTACGAGTCGTGGGAGTCAGTGAGAAACGTGACGGAATCCTACAATATTTAATGACATTGCCAAGCTTTTTTATTTACAACAAAATAAGCTAATTGACTGTACACAATATAATAGCATTGTAATATAACAATATAATATGTAGTGATAAAGTTTACAGTGGCTTCATAAAAAATAACGTTATAAAAAATTATAAATAACATTAAAGTTACACACCTGATGTATTCTTTGTTCTTCACTTTCTAGAAGTTTGAAAGCCTTGCTGTATTTTTGTGTTAATTAAGAGAAGGTACACCACAATCTTGCTCCGACGAAAGTGATTTGAACAAACATGACGCCATAAACACGAATTCTCAACTCGTATACAAACTTCCCAGAAGGACTTGAACGCACCATTAATTTCCCCATTTCATTTCTCATCATGATTCATGACAGATCGCGGAGACTAACCAGTCCATACGAGTAACCCGCTCAATGATGCAGAATCAAAAGGTATGTACCGGTAAGCGACACTAAGCGTGTAATCACAAAATGAAATTACAAAAATAATGTGAGTTTTTAAACAAATTACCCCCAACATTCCCTCGTCTGCCATTGGTCAACAAACATATAGTCTTGCTGCAAACTGGAGTAATGGTTGCTGAAAAATTTGCTTAAAATGACAGGAATAAATCACGTCATATTTGTTTTATATTATGTACTTCTGTTGTTATTACAGCCTGCAGTTGAAAGACATGCTGTTCTAAAGAAAGGTTTGTCCTGCTTGTTTAACTTCTCTGGTTTTCATATTACCAAATGCTAATTCTATTTGATCAAACTGAAATGGTTTCACTTCTGTTTGTCTTGAAGTGAACTGTGATGCCTTCATGCTTTTAATAAAGAATCTGTGTTTGTACAGTTGAGACCGTATCGACCACCAGAGCCCCAACCAAGAACAACTGCAAAGCTCTTACTTCCACAAAAACCAGAGCAGCTACAGGTAAAACCACACACTTAAATTTAGGAACGTGGAGGATATAGTTGCGAATGTTAACATTTTCATATGTACACTACTGCTCAAAAGTTTGAGGGTCAAAAAGATAAAAAGAATAAGTCTAATGCTCACCCAGGCTGTTTATACAGAAACACAATAAAACAGTTATATTTTGAAATGTTATTACAATTAAAAATAACTTTCTAGTTTTAATATTTAAAAATGTAAAAAAAAAAAAAAAAAATTGTGGAAATTTTGATTTAAAAAAGTTCAAAATAAGAACAGAATTTTTAGTTGTATTGTCACATTATAGTCTTTAATGTCAGTTTTTATCAATTAAATGTGTCATTGCTGAATAAAAGTAAATTCTTTCAAATAAAAAAGCAGATGCAAAGCATTATCATTTCTTTTACAGTTGAACCATCTGTGAGAGCTCCAACCACACGATCAGCTGCTAAAACAACACCGGCAGCTGTGGTTAAACCAGTTGCTGTTGGTCAGTTTTATTTTAACATTTTAAATCTTGGGCTTTTCTGAAAGCTTTGTCTCTGTGACCTTTATTATGCTCTAGTTGTGTTACATGTGTGTAACTTAAGCCACTTGATTTAGATTCAAGGGCTATGAAAACGAGATCAACTGTTAAATGTCCTGCAGCGCCCTCTTCTGGCAGAGTGAAAGCCATACAGGGTAATGAGTTATTTTCTACTGGCATGTTTTCTGATATTGTATATTGATTTATATTGCCACATTGTTGCTCAGATGGAAGTAATGTTGCATCAGTCCAGAACTACAGGATGTCTGTATACGTGTCATTAATCATTAGATCTCATAATCTTACACAGGCAACACGAAGACAAATATTGATAATAAGGTGAGTTGGTCTTTCATATCTATCTTTTTGGTTTTGAAATTTTCAGAAAATTGGGAATTATATTTCATGCTTGGATATTTTTAGCCTGCTGAGAAAAAGGACACTGCAGTTAATTCTCTGGTTCCTGAGGAAGAGGAACCCAAAGCTGCTCCCCCCTCATTTGCTCCTCAGGGATTCGTGTTCCAGCCTCCTGTTGGTCTGAGTTCCTTTGAGCCTGCGCCCCTCTCTCCACATTCAGCCAGTGCCTTCCTCTCCCCGAGGTACCTTTTGAATTTGATTCTAATGAACTGAATGTGTGATGCCTCTTAGCTTTATCATATAAGCTGGTCTGAAATAATACTATCATATTTCTCTTTTATAGCTTACTTTCTGAAGCCAGCGGGGAGCCCATCTTCCCCTCTCCCCAAAAACCTGTTCACCTTTTTCCTTCACTCTCATCCCCTCCACCTTCTCTGTCAACCCTTTCACCAGATCTTCCCACCACCCCTCCATCAGTGTCCTCTCCCCCTCCTGCCCCATCCTCCCCTCAGCCGTCCACCTCTGCAGCTCCTTTGGCCCCCTTGGAGCCTCAGCATGATGTTGCCTATTTCAGGTGAGGCAGATCTCTACCATTGATAGACCTGACTCATTGGTATTTTGTAGTGTTTTAATAATGCATTAGTCTCCATTTATACACCGCTTTCTGCAACTATGGAACCATTTCCGTTATTAATTTTAGGGGCCGTTTACACAACACTGTTTTCAACTGAAAACATAAAACTAGTTTTGCGTTCTGGCTGTACATTTACACGACAATGGCGTTTTGGTCGCCTGAGAACGCAAACTTTAAAATGGGTTTCAAGTGCAAGTCTTTGAAAACGATACTGCTATCATCATTTATCTCCTGCCTTCAAAAACTCGAATCTCTGAAAACGGTGAAGGCATGCACATGCTTATTACATGTTTAGTCTATGGGGGTTTGAATGTGTATCGGTGCACTCACTCGGCGCGCCGGTGTTATTGTTCCCATTGACTTTGAATGGGTGACGTCATGCTTTGCCGACCTGAATTGTGGGTTTTGTTGCATTGCGTCACTAGTGTTGCTCGTGGCAGAAGTTAAAAAGGCTTGTTCGACTTCATGCGACTTGAAGCAGTGCATGCCGGCTAGAAATTTTGTCGGACTTGAGACTGTGCCGTTGCCACGTGACACATGGCATCAAAGTACCACGAGAGCGATTCAAGGGCAGCCGCATGATTCATTCTGCGCAGGTTCTATTGAGAGGCTGCACAAGCTCTGACAACACAACTGTTCCACGATTGGCCGGATTCACCGCATGACAGCGATCACCGGGTTTATTCTAAAACCTTCAGTTCCACTAATGCTCACAAATCTGTTTTTTATAACAGTAAAACCTCTTCATGTAGTCATGTATTGTCATCATGTTTATCAAAATAAAAGTGATATTAAATGTCGGCCCCACTTTATTGATAGTATAGGTTTATGTTCATCTTTATTCTTGTACAGACGGATGCTGTATTAAGCAGTACATACAGTATATTGAATATGTCTCTGAAACATCTGTGTATTTGACAATTATTGCATTTATTTCAATTCAGCTGTGATAAAAGTATGCAAACAGCGCGAACGTCACTACAGGAAGCAGAAAGTGTCCGACTTCACGGCTCCGTTTTCAGCTCCTCCCCGCCTGCAACCGGCAACTCTCGCCAATCGGTTACATCCAGCCGATGTAGAACACCTGAGAAATTCTCAACTTTTTGAGTGCCAACGCAGGCATCAGATTGCCTCTGCAAATACCCTAGCACAGACGCTATCCAATTTTGTTCATGCAACACTGGAAAAGTAATGTGATTGCCTGTTGTCACTATGATGGTGCTTCAGCATCAAGTGCCGACGCCCTGTGTGAATGTGGTGTATGTGCGCAGGCGCGTAGTCTTTCTTACAAAGACATCGCCAGGTGACAGGAAAGGAGGAGAAGACTGCAAGCAATCCTGCGAGAACCACCGGAACTTCCTGTAAATGGTCTGAAAGTCCGACCCATACAGAAAATGCTTTCACACTAGAAACGAACCAAACCTTTGTTCAGTTTGATCTGGACCGAGACTACCTCTTTTCGTCTGACCAAATTTCGTCTGTTTTTTTTATTCGGTTAATTCGTCTGTTAATTTTAATTCGGATCAAACTGAAAAGTCTGAAAATCCGGACCAAACAAGGTAGGTGTGAAAGGGCCCTTAGTTCATTTATTGATACAGCAGTTCTGGAGAAAACCGTGATGTCATTGTCCTGTTCAGTTGTCATACAATGTTGCCAAGGCAGGCAGATCAAATATTAAGAATAATAAGTGTCCCCAACTTAGCAAGCCAGATGCGACAGTGGAAAGGAACCCAAACTCCATCAGGTGACGGAATAGAGGAAAAAAACCATGGGAGAAACCAGGCTCAGTCGGGGGGCCAGTTCTCCTCTGGCCAACGAATGAACAGTGTATGATTATGATTCAGGCAGCAGTACGGGTCAGAAGTCAGATTGAGATCGGAATATTAAAAATATTTAATGCTAAATATGTAGTGTATGTTGTTTCAATAGGTCAGTGATGGCCAGTGAGACCGAGCGTTTGACTGGATTTTCTAAGCTGTGGGAGTCACGATTTGATGATGCCTCAATCCCGGAGGAGAGTAAGACAACTTTTAATTAAATACCAAAGTCTAACACAGTATCCTAACTAGGTTTGATGCAAGCTTTCCAGCAAGGATTATTTTTTCTGTCCACACTGAAAGTTAAAATGACACAATCACATATTTAATGTTTATTATCATCTCTGTTGGGTTGAAAACCTTATCTCCAAAAATACTACTTTCCTGCTACTTTTCAGGAGGAAAAAACGCTATAAAATAATTAAACTCTGTGTTGTCAAAGCTGATGTGGCTTTTTATGCGTTCAGACACTTGCATGTGCCATTATATTATTAACATTTTACCAAAATCAAGCTCAAATGGAGTTAAAATGTTTTTGACCAGCACCTGTTTTGTCAGTTATTAGAACGTCCGCATCTGAGGCAGTAAGTGCATCATATTACGTTTTCATCAACTTTACTGTAGCTATGTGGGCGTTCAGTTTTGTTATTTGACCAAAATCCCATGTTAAAGATGTTCTATGCTGAGGCCATTTAAGACAGTATTGGCTATGACTCGACAACAAATGCTTGACTGAGACCCTCTTCTCTGCTCCTCGAATACACAAAACATTAGCCTTTATAAATGTAGTTATTCTTGAGTAAAGAGAATGCTGTATTTATTCAAACAACCAGTTCTTTACTTACCATTGCATTGCAAACGAGCAGACGGTCAATATGAGTTATGAGGTTTTACTGACAGTTTGAGGATCCAATGGAGATTACAAGGTTTAGTCACAAGCTCTTTTTAAATATTTTTCATTGATTAGATATTTGCAAAACCCACAGACAGATGTAAAGGGTGACCAATAGTAATGATTTATAAAAAAGAAAAATGAAATCTAGAGATACGAGGTTTCCTCCAGAAAACTATACAGTTATATGAAGTAAGTATATTTCCCCCTGTCGGTGTAGTGCAAGACCGGATGCGCACGGCTGTGGGCCAGGCCAGACTGTTGATGAAAGAGCGCTTCGGCCAGTTCAGCGGGCTGGTGGATGACTGTGAATTGGGGCGCGGAGAGAAAATAACAACCTGCACTGACTTGCAGGGCTTCTGGGACATGGTGTACTTTCAGGTGGGTTGATGTTCCCTTTTAAATATGCTCAAATAACGTCCAACCCTTGTTTAATGTTGTTTTGTTTTATTTTATTTTTTGTAAATAGGTGGAAGATGTTAACAAGAAGTTTGATTCCTTGAAAGAGGCAGAAGCAAGGGATTGGAAAGAGGAAGTCAGGCCTGTCGCCAGAAAGAGAGTGGCCAAAGTAAACCACATTATCAGCACCGTCTTTTAATAATCTTGCATTACAAATGTGAAGAGTGTAATTCTCATATCCTGTCCTTTCTGATACAGAAGCCTCCTGTCGTAGGAGGGAAGGCCGGAGCAGGTGGAGCTGCCAGCGCTGCAGTGAAGAGTCGACTGGCTGCTGTTAAGGCCGCCATGAGAGCCAAGCAGGCTGAACAGAAAGCTTCTGAGACGTCAGACAACATCCAGGACTATGCAGATTCTGTTCCTGCCGCCACTCTGCCTGCACAGACTGTGGTGTTCCATGGAGGCTTCTTCCAGGTGGAAAGCCCAATGAAACCATTAGGTAAGATTGAACTTGTCTTTAGTAAGCATGAGTTTTTTTTTTGTTTTTTGTTTTTTTACTTGGGATAGTATTATTTTTTTTGTGATATTGAAAAGTGACAAGAATTCTGAAATTTCAATGCTATCAAAAATTTGATATCATAACCCTATTTAAAACAAAAATAACTACATCATTATATGTAAGGGATAATGTACATATTATCCCTTATAATAAGCGGGATAATGTACATCCAGCCGGTTGTTCTCAGAATAACCCCCTTCAGGCTGATTAATGGGTCGTTTCCACTGAGCGGTTCGGTACGGTACACAATTATTTGCGTTTCCACTGTCAAAAGTTGTGAATGGTACCAAAAAGCCGAACCGTACCGTACCACTTTTTGGGTACCCTTCCATTGGGGTACCTAGCACAGTGGTACGGTACTGAAAGGTGGAGCTAGACTCACTGCAGAACGTTGATTGCTTGACAGAGTACCGTCACTTGCGCGTGCTACAAGGACATTAGAAGCGCCATTTTTTAATATACAGTTGAAATATAATACTACTGTTATCGTGTCACAAAATGGAGTTTTAAGAGTTTTTCAGGTGAGAATGTAGTTTTTTTTAAAGCTCAAATCTGTGGTTTATTTATAGATTTATGATAATTTGATTGAGATCCATTCCAAGCAATCACCGGGCGTTCGGCGCTTAAGTACCCCGCCTGGAACAGCCTTTCCTCGGCTAGTCGTTCTGATGTTTGCCGCTGACTCTGACGTCTCTGTAGTGGTTAAACATGAGATATAATTCGTCTTGTATAGACCTAACAGGCGATCTTTGGTCTCGTGAATCTATAATTCGTTCCCTGGCCAATAGTTTTGGCAGGAGGCTAAGTGAAGTTTCATATATTTGAGCGCTGAATTTGTATATTTGACTGAATTGTTTGCTTTATTACAAGACCATCTGTAATGTTGTTTATTGCAACATTTGTACCAATGCACATATTGCCTGGAATATGTTTAATATTTTTAAATAAATGAAAAGAGGCAGGGTTGTGTTTTATATTTAGTTTTGTTATGAATATAGGTTACATACATGCAGTGAATAAAATCAATAGGCTATGCGTTGCCTGAACACATTTGTGTGCTTATAATGTTTAAAATGTATTTAATGAAATCGAAAAGAAGCAGAGTGGTGTTTTATAACATTTCGTTTTATTGTTGCCTAAAATGTACATACAGAGATAAGCCCCGTTCACACTACACGCGACCAAGCGACGCGATACCATTCATTTCAATGGTGAGGGGGCGACTTCCGGCGACACGCGCGACAGCGACCGTTGGCGACTAGATGGGGCGTGTCTAGCGACGCGAGAAAGTTAAGACATTTTTAACTTTATGCAAATGAAGAGCGATTTTCGCGAGCGACAACCAATAGGAGTGGAGCGCACATGATCCTTCTCAGCCCCTGGGCCTGCAGTGATGGATGGCAAGAAAGCTGATTCGCTGTCTTTTGGATGTCATACTAGTCAACCAGTAGTGGGAACGCCCACTAGTGACCTCATCGCCAGCGCCTGGCGACTTGCAGCGACAAAGTCGCGTGTAGTGTGAACGGGGCTATAACCGGAGTAGCAGAGCGAGCTGAGTAGCGCTTTCAAGAACGCACTGTTCCATTAGCTGAATTACTGGACTCGCGTCCTCAGGAGTCATTCTCCTGAGTCGGACTTTGATCCGCTCCGCTTCGCGTTGGGGTCCTCATCACGCTGTCAGGGGCTGGATGTACATTATCCCGCTTATTACACGGCTACTTGCCACATAAGTAAATAATTAGACACAAAATATTGGTCTGAGTTGAAAGATTTTATTAGGTCTTTAAACGCAAAGCTTCCGCGGAGAGAGCAGTTGCTGCGTGGCATGTTCAAACCAGACGGACATTTAAGAGATACGGTATACAGTCATACCACTTATTACACAGCATTTCACCACATAAATAATTATGGAGATAATATATATTGATTTCAGATTAAACTGTTTTAAAATCATACCTGTTTGTATCTTTATAATCCAACATTGTACAAAACAATAGTCACAAAATGGCAGCAGCTGCGTTTGTATGAAACGAGAGAGCGAGTCCACGATACTGGATGTCATAATTATATAACTGTACACAAAATATTGATTACACTGAGTTTTAATACTTTATTAGCTCACCAAACGCAAAACTTCCATGATGAAAAAACTTTCCTAGCAAGCATTTAGTGCTGTTCACTTCAGTAACCCGGATGAGTCTGTGCTATGTTTTCAGCGATTGTTATCTGACTTGGAATAACATACCGCTGAATGGTGCGATTTACCAATCAGAATCAAGTATTCTACAGAGCCGTGTAATAAATATCGTTATAGTGAAATAAAATTACTCCTATCATGATATAAGATTTTCGTCATATCGCCCCACCCCTAAATCTGACAGTGCTGAAACTATTGAATGAGAACTGAACTGAGGTGGAAGATAACATCACTGTTTTCAACAGAAGTGCTTTATTTTTTAATAGAAATAACAATAATACTTGTTTTATAGTACAATACTAATATTTTATTTCTTTTTATAATTTAAGTAATAAAATAATACTTTTTATATAGTAATATTCAAAGGATCACATGCCTGATTACTGCCTCTAGCCATAAAACTCCAGGATTAAACTGTTGTCCAGGATTAGCAAAGTCATAATTGAGTCATTTTTATACTTAAAATATTCAAGTTATACAAAAAAATTTCCTTAGTCTAGAAATTGTTCTTTGTGAGTTTAAAAAAAAAAAAAACTACACTCTATCCTTTTTAATATGTTGTCCTTGTGTATGAATCTGTATAATTTTCTTCTTTTCAGGTGCTGTCAGACGATCATGTCGAATCAGTACAGTTTCTTCCCCCTGTGCTTCTAAGTTCAGCACTCCAGGCAGGCAGTGCAGATCTAATGCAGTCTCTCGTGCCTCCCCTCTACCCTGCGTGTTTGCTACTCCTCCTCGAAACCATCATCCCGATGTATTGCCTGTTTCCACGCCTCTACGTTCTGCTGAGCCCCTGTCACAGTCTCCCAGAGCTCTTCAGATCAGCCCTGACCACAACCAAACCGCACATGTTTTGCCAGACACAGAGCCCTGCTCCAACAGCCAACCTCATGATTTAAGCTCCACCTGTACCTCACACACCCAACCAGAGATCAGTAATGCAGCAGAAAACAGTCCAGTAGACCAATCACGAGACTTTCCCATCCAGTCCGAGCACCTTGCGGATTCTTCGGACCCTCAGCTTGAGGAATGCATTCCAGAGTCTATGCTCAGTCCTTCCTCCCAAGAGGAACCACAAGAGGACATGGTCTCTGAAGAGAGTTTGCCTGCCCCAACTGGAGCAGATGCCGGTCTAGATACTCGTGCCCAGTGCTCATCTCACACCTCTTCCTTAGAAGCAAAAGCACCTGCTTCCCCTGTCCTGATGCCCTCCACACCAACCAAAGATCCCAGCATTTCTGCAGCTCTCAGTAATGAGGTCATTTCAGCCTGTAATAGGTATGCTGTGCTTTGTTATATAGAGCGTCACAGTCCCGCCCACAGCCGGTGCCGGAAGTAAAAATTCAATACAATTTCTCCATTGACAGTTGGGGTATAAACCATAACAATGTAACCATACATGGAAGACTTAAAACCAGCTATGGCTGTACTAAGTGATTGTATATGCTCATATAAACGCCAAAAGTTCATGGGGCACTAACCTTGTTTTAAGATAAATGCCTTTTATTCGCGATGTCTTGTGATGATAAGTACTTCATTACCCACAATCCTGAACAATCCCACAGTGATGCATCTGATTGGTGGAAGTCGTGTAACGTGTCTGGTTAAACCCCGCGAAGGTCCGTGAAGACCATGTAATGACGTAGGTCTAGTTCATTGGTCGCACGTCAGAGGCGCCTGCGCCATTGGATGTGCAGGTGCCGCAGCACAGCCTATGAGCGAGCCAGATGCTCAATGTGTTAGCTGTGCAGCTGCAAATGCGTTTTACATATAAGCTTCAGTAAATCGAGGAAAAGGAGTTTCCCTGCACATTTACTATATAATTCACTGGAGGAAAAAGTTCACGTGGCCGTCATCAGATTTGTAAGTCGCTCAAAAGACTCTTTCGCGGTTGTGGCTTCAGTCGTCTTCAGTGAGGCGCGGTGGTTTATGGGATGAGTAGGTCCTTCGCTCGGAAATGAAAATATGTACACAGTCTTGTACCTTTGACTTTTTTTGGATTTTCTCTTCGTTTTTTTCACTCAAAATGAAATGTTGTATGCTTATGAGTTCAGCCGTAGCTGGTTATCCTCAGACATGCTCTAAAACTCTTTAGATACGGATTTTCCAAAACGTCAATGGGAGAAATGAATGGGAAATTTACTTCCGGCACCAAAGCTCTCTCGGGCTGTGGGTGGGACTGTGAAGCTCTATTAGGCCGTCTAATTTGTTATGAGCCCCACTAAACATGGCATAATTCATAATCTTTCCACTGTTCATACAGCTCCCCAACCAGAGAGCTTCACACAGATGTTGAAATGACTGGAATTCAAGATGCTGAGGTGATTATCTACCAAATCCAACTAGAAATGCACAATATTGGTTTGTATATATACTAGGGGTGTGTGAGACTAAAATATGACGAGATTTCTCGTCGAGTAAAAAGCTGTCTCGCGATATCGTGATGACGGAGCTTGAGGGTGAAATTAGCATAGAATATGCCACCGCTACATTCACATTACGATACCACCTCCACTGGTTTTTATGTTTATAAAAACAGCAAAACGACATTGTAAACTATTGTAAACGTCTGCTCTGCTCATCCAGCACGAGTTGCAGTCCCGTGTCGTAGTGAAGCAGGAATCAGTTGTCACGTGACGATGGCGGATAATTCGTACCTCAACAGAGCCTAAACTTCTGATAAATGTCTTGTCTTATAGAATGCGCGTTAGCACCGCCGCTCCCTATACACAGTACGTGTGATCGCAAACACAAAAGTAAAACACGAGCTCCCTGATGCGCGCAATTAGGCTGCATACAATAGTCTGTCTCCCAATATCAAACATATCTCTGGACTGTGTAGTTGTGGTTCTGGTCTCTGTTTGCACTTTGAATACTGAGAGAGTACTGTAACGTCTGAAGAACGACAGACAAGGGAGGCTCCGTTTCTGAACTTTTAATCGGAAAGCAAGAACAACTGTACACAAACTCACTAGCCTAACTCACTCGCTCGTTTCTCTCTACCCGGCCTTTTTCCGAACTCACCGCCTTATGCCTATTACTGACGGTGCAAAATAAAACCGCAATTTCATAACCATTATAAAGAGTCTGTGCTCCTACAGTACTTTGATTATGGTTGCACTTGAACTTATTGTTTGCACTTAATACGACTAAGAGAAAACTGTTATTTATTTGTTATTTATACTGTTTTTATTTCAATTTGTGGAAATTAGTTTAATTAGGAGGTCACACACATCCTCAATCAGAAGTTCTGGGGAAGCTTGTAAATGTACAGTAAGGTCTGAAGAGACTCGTGTGAAATTATACAGGAGAAAAGCCAGTCAGCTGAGTTTGTGGCAAAACCTTTTACAGTGCTTGTATATTGTTGTCTTTCAATGCATTTGATAATTCATACTCCTAAAGTAGAACTGAAAAATGACATTCATTAGAAGATTATTAGTTAAAACATTTCAAAATGCACCTGCAGACTATTTTTCCAGTCATGAATTTTGTCATTGAGAATTTCTATAAAATTGTGCAAAAATCTCGCCACACCCCTACTGTATATATAATTGGTATCCATTTTATATTGGATATTTAATTGTTCAAGCTTCCTCTATTTTTATATTGATTACCTTTGTCATCATCAATAATAATAAATAATAAAATAATATTAAAAAAAAATATTTTTTTCATACGGTACTGAACTTAATCATTTTTACGCTACAAATGAATTTAGGCATCACAACATTATAGTGATTAAACATTTATTTAGACACAATAGTGTAGAATTTTAATATCGGTTATTAGCTTTGGCTGTAACATATAATTTTATCAGCTTATCACTATCGGCTAACGTTTTAAAGATGTACTATATAACTGTTAATGTAACTTGACAGAGTGCAAACACAAATATCCATCCTCCAAACCATGTCTTTACCCTATTAAATGTTGATAAACCTGATACATTATACATATTTAAAGTTGTTAGGATGGATTTTGTGATATTGCATACTCAAGTCATTTGTGGTTAAGAGATCCTGTATGCATGTGTACACCAGTGCCTTGAACTACATTAATCTGAGCAGAGCTGAAGCACAACCAAAACAACGTTCTTCCACAAGACCCATGCGGTTTAACATGGGTCAAAAAGTTACAAAGTGTAGCTAACCTTTATTCTGCATCCCTAAATCCTCCTATTAGTCAGCAGAGCTTTTACTTGAGTTTATGGATCATGTTCTGGTGTATTTTTCCCAGGATGCTACTAGTTTGGACTTTGAGCGTTACCTGCAGCCAACAGTGAGAGACAGCATGTCTCCGGGTCTTGCAGAAGAGAGGTTTTCCCTTGGGGTGGAGGATGCTGAGATGGAGAGTCCTGTGACTCTGGCAGAGGAGCGTCCTCTTGATGTCTTGGCAACACCTTCAGGTAGTTTATGTCCCTCATATCACATCATAATGTTCTTTTAATGCTCACATATGGTTTGTTGGGGGGCACGTGGGCACTCACTTCTCTCTTGCACTCCTGTCTCAGCTCTTCCAAGAATGGTGTTCACACCCGGGACCAGTCAGGTGGATTTACATCTTTCCTTTATTAACTATCATTTCTTCTCTTTTAATAGGGTTCCCACAGTTTTCCAGTCATGGAAATTCACTCAGAATTTGGATCCGATTCAGCAATTTTGATCCAATAAAATATTTTATAGATGTGCAACTAGTAAAACAATTACTACAGCAATGTTCATGACTTAATTTTTATTAATAAATCCTAAAGATTTTTATAATAAATCCTAAAGATTTTTATAAATGTTTAGTTTTTCAAGCCTGGAAACCACAATTTTATGTTTCCAGGTTTTCCATGACTGTGGGAACCACTACTCTATCACACCTTCTGAGAGTTGTCAGCATTTTAATTTTTAATTTGTCCATAACCTTGTTGTGTTTCAGATGTCAGACAATCTGTTGCTGTTCACCCCAGAGCAGAAGGAGAGAGTGAGACCATCAATGTGTGAACGTGACCTGATCATGTTCACACCTCCCACAAACAAATAAAAGCACATCCACTCTTTGAATGTGGATGGTTTTCATTTTTTTTTTTATTAAATTAGATGCCTTTGACACTTGTACATTTATTTGCTACTCACTTTTTGTACTTTATAAAGAGCGTATTTAGATATTTCTATGCAGTTTTGACCTCAGAAAATATTAAGGCTTTCAAATGTCACAATTGTTTTAAACGTTAATAAAATCATAAGGGAAAAAAATGCACTTCCATTCTGTGAATTTACTTATTTTTCTTATTCCCTCTGGTGACTGATTGTTTTGAAATGCCAGACGAGAAAGAGGTCACAGGGTCATGTGAGAAGGGGGCGAGTGGTTAACATCCATGTTTGGAACCTCTCTGTGTTTATCTTCGTCTTGTCTCTCCTCAGCCTCCAGCTGTTCTGTATGTCTGAAAATAATTGTAAAGTATAAAAATATGGGCTTCAAAAACCATTTCTTAGAATCTAGGGGATTAAAAAAAAAATATATATATATACCTTGCTTTGTCAGCATCTGCAAGAGCACTTCTGTTCTTTTCTCTCAGCTCGAGTCTCTCCTTCAGCTTCACGCTGTGCTCATATGCAGGGAAGAAGGTCTGAGTGAAGAACTGCTGTGTTTTCTGCATCCAGTCCTTCTCTGAGGATATGAAATTAGCCCACTATTAGGGATAAATCAGAGGCATAACTAAGATTTTATTCAATTACATGAATTTTCCAGGTGACACTTTTAAATCAGGCTACCTCAAATGGTTTTCCAAGACTGTGGGAAGCACATTTACATTTATTCATGTAGCATATGCTTTTATCTAAAATAAACTAAACTACTTCCAAATGAGGAATGCAAGAGAAGGCAATAATGTAAGTGCTAGCAATACAGCGTTTCAAACATCCTCCAGAATAGTACAACTCTTGATCTTTATTTTGTCTTATTTGTAGTCACCCCTTTGGAAGTTTGCTGAGGCCTCCTAGTTGAGAACCACAGATATAGTAACAAGGACTGACCACATTTTCCATTTTGAATTGCATTTGTGAAGTCAAACCTTTGAAAGCAAGCACAGGACTTTGTCTTTGCTCCATCTCCTCAGATAGGGATGACTGAAACATTTCAAAAGATAAGAGCACCTTAATAGAGACAGTCTGGTTAGCTTTCACCCCAGCTAAGATAATATCCACTGGAATGTGGTATCTACAAATCTCAAGATGAGAGAAAATGGCTGAAATTTCATTCTTAAAAATTGAAAAAGCAATCCAATTCAAATTATGTAACTAAATCATTGATCTGAAACAGTAGGAGAGGCAGCACAGACCTGAAGTGAACTCGGCTCTGTAATGTTCTGCGTGGTGTCGTCCCAAAGACTTGTGTCAGTCTGGCTCTCAACATCAGTTTGGATTCTCTGGCCTTTCACCTCAGCACAGCCCAACAATGCCTCAAAGAACTCCAGAAAACTCATCTACAACCAAAATAATTTGTCATATCAAATCAGTAATATCAACCAAAAAAACAGCTCAGCTCCTGACCTCCAGGTCCAGGTTGCTGTAGATTCCATCATGAATTGCAGGACTGTCCACAGAGAGGATCTCTAACACTTTGGACACGGTTAGCTCGCTGTCATATAGACAGAGGTCCTGTGAACAAGACTATGCATAAGAATTATGTATGAATAATTCTTAGTATTGAGACTAGATGAAAGTAAGAGGCTTGTTACCTTAAGCAACCAGACAAAATGCCTTGCAGTTAAGCTTTGGTCAGGCTGGACAGAATTTGCTTTACACAGGGCCTGGTAAATTTCCCAGCATCTGTCTGAGTAGTGACATGCAACTGAAGCCTGGACAGGGTGGCAGAACAGAGAGCCTAAAATAAAGAAATACATTTTTAATAAAATAAACATTTTTAATAATGAATAAATAATATTAGTCTATGTTGAACAGGGACATTCAAGATAATTCTTAATAATACAATCATAGTATAATGTGTATCTCTCTACCTTTCACATTCTTTGCATTGGGAATGATGTTCTGCCTCATGAGCTTTGAAAAACATGCTGCGAGTATGTTATTAGAGGACCTGTAACATGACAAGTGATCTGTGACTAGATGGAAACTTTCAAGAACATAAAAAATCCAATTATTGTAGGAAAATACTCACTCAATATCGTCGTGGTAAATATGATATGCTACAACGATAATATAGCTGATACACTCTCTTGGTAGAATGGCAGTGAAAGGAGAATGAACCTGATCTGGATTCAGACAGTGACAACGAGCAAAACTTTGATTACAATTAGTTTATTTGATATAAAGAGAAAAGATCATAAACCATTATTATGCTTAAAGACATTACCAGTGATCAGATGATCTATTTGCGCTTGTGTGATTCCGTGCTGATGAACTTTACAGTCCATGAGAAATCGAGAGAACTGCAGGTAGGTCAGGGGGAATATTTTGTCTGGAGATTTCTCATTTCCAAGGCTGCAGTAGAAGCTATATATCTCCCTTAACAAACCAATGTGTCTCAGCACTGCAAACTCCACCTGCACAGATGGAAATAAAATAATACTTACACAGCACACCAACACAAATTTGGCTCTGGATTTACCTTAGGATTCATCTTAAATAAGGCCAAAAACCTGTTTGAGTTCTTGATCTCTGTGGTCCTCAGGGACTCTGTCTAACAGAGTATGGATGTTCAAAACCATGTCAGATCCGAGTGGTGAGTTTGTGCTTGACTGTGAAGATCTTTTGGATGAATCACCTAATGAACAGAGATAAACTATTAGAAACACTATAAGTAAAAAAACAAATAAAACCTCTTGACATACTGTAAGGGACATGAAATTAAGTAAACAGTGTTTAAAGTACACTGTCAAATAATTCTGATAAGTTAACTCTCTAAAGTTTTTTTTGTATTCTTTTTTAGAATGACTGTTTAAGGTACATTGTCATGCTACTTACCATATAAATGCATAAATGGACATTCATTGTTCATTAGAGTTAACCTTTTTTTTATTCAGGGATCAACAATGAGGATGGCCAACGTGAGAGTGTTTCAGGTCATTTGATGGAACTGTCAAATTAGATATTTATTGAACCAGCACTATAGCTTGTTTGATTAGATGCACTTTTATGCTTTGCTTATAAACATATGGTTTTCTGTGACATACTGTTTTCTGTTTCATACCTTCATTTAAGCTTGTTAGTAGGTAAAATTATATAACTCGCTAATAGATTGATTGAATGACTTAGTAGTTTAAGAATTGAATGAAAATGACTAATTAGTAATGTTTTGCCATGAATGCAATCATATTTTTTTCTGTATTCATTAATTTAAGCTGTCTTGGAGTTTCTTGTAATTATAATATAATATACAATTGTAATCAAAATTATTCAACACCCATTGCAAATCATGTGTATTGGCAAAATGTACAGACTGTCAGCTGTTTGCAATGAACAAATCAAACAAAAGTAATTGAAATAGCTCAACACAACAAAAGTTTCAAGTGGTTTCCACAAATTCAACTGAAAATGCAACTTTTAATTACTTATGCAGTCTCAAAATGATTCAACCCCTTTATGGTAAGCATCTTTAGTACTCAGTAGAACACCCTTTTGCTGTTATGACCTGATGCAAACAAGATGTATAACCAAACACCATGCAGCTTCTGGCAGTGTTTCTGAGGAATCTTAGCCCATTCCTCATGAGCAATGGCCTCCAGTTCAGTAATATTCTTGGGTTTGTGTGCTGCAACCGCCTTCTTCAAATCCCACCAGAGATTTTCTATGGCTTCAAGTCAGGTGACTGTGATGATGGCCACTGTAGAATCTTCCAGGACTTCTTCTGCAACCAAGCCTTGGTGGAATTTGAGGTATGCTTGGGATCATTGTCCTGTTGGAAGGTCCACTGATGCCCAAGCTTCAACTTCCTCATTGATGGCATTCTCCTAGGATTTCCTGATACTTCAATGAATCCATCTAGCCTTCCACACGCTACAGTTTACCAGTGCTAAAGGATGCAAAGCAGCCGCAGAGCATCACCGAGCCCCACCATGCTTAACTGTAGACAGTTCTTTTCAGCATATGCTTAATTCTTCTTTCTCCAGACATACCGCTGATCCATAGGGCCAAACATTTCCAGTTTTGTTTCATTGCTCCACAGAACAGAATCTCAAAACTTCTGTGGCTTATTTATATGATTTTGAGCAAATTGGTGGTGGTGTTCGTCTTGGAGTTCTGTCATGCATTTAGTACGAGCCTATCTGTGCAAGCTGAAACCTCAGTGCCTGTTGCCACCAAGTCTTGCTGCAGGTCTTTTGCAGTCAAAGGGTTTTTCTGAACCTGCCTTCTCATAAATCTGGTTGCAGCTGTTGATAGCTTCCTTTTTCTGCTCCATCTAGGTAGTGTAACCACTGTTCCTTTCATTTTGAAGTTGCAAACTATGCTTCCATTAGTGTCTCTAGGAACATTTAGTGCCTTTTCTCTCTTTTTGTATCCTGTTCCTTGTTTGTGAAGGGCGATGATATCTTCTCTTAACTTTTTGGACTATTTTTTTGACTTAGCCATATTTCTAACATGCAGTCAAACGTGACACTCAACAAACAAGCCAGTTCAGATATTTCATGTGTTCTAGCTCAAGCACACCTGGTGCAACTAATGAAGCCCTTGATTAGTTGCATCAGGTGTGCTTGAGACAACAACTGTTTTGCAGATTTGTGCTGTTGTGAGGGATTCTATTCAGGGGGTTGAAACATTTGTTGTGTTGAGCTATTTAAATTACTTTTGTTTTTGTTTTTCACTGCAAACAGCTGAAAGTGTACATTTTGCCAATAAACTTGATTTCCAATGGGGGTTGAATAATTTTGATTACAACTGTACACTCACTGGCTACTTTATTAGGTGTTCAACTGATCGTTAACGCAAATATCTTATCAGCCAATCACATGGCAGCAACTCAATCTCAGAAAAAAGAGAAAATATCAGGTGAGTGGCAGTTCTGTAGGCGAAAATGCCTTGTTGGTGCCAGAGGTCGGAGGAGAATGGCCAGACTGGTTTGAGCTGACAAAAAGGCAAGAGTAACTCAAATAACCTCTTGTTACAACCGAGGTCTGCAGAAGAGCATCTCTGAATGCACAACATGTCAAACATTGAAGCAATACGAGCTACAGCAGCAGAAGAGCATACTGGGTGTCACTCAGCTAAGAACAGGAAACGGAATAATAATTTCATATATGAAATAATAAATGTATGTATATATATACACATTTATTATTTTATAATAAATGTAAAAATTATACATTGTAAACTACATTTATATATAAATATTAAATTATACAATTCAATTTAGCTATGTAGGAAATCAGTTGCTAGGGACAATGGTCAACTATATAGTTTAGTAGCCATTAATTGACCAATCAGAATCAAGTATTCCAGAGAGCTAATAATATTTAATTCTAAATATTTCATTCTGGTCATGAATATTACTTAATACTTTACTCTCGTCTGGAAAAGGAGTCGTAATCCCACTCAGGCCAGGAGTGAAGGCAGGAAATTCAGCCATGCAGTCCTTATTAAACTCCCCTTCATATACCTGTCCATTTTCAAAAGTGTATTTCCCCTGCAAAAGACCATCTGTAGTGTTGAAATCACACAACCATCTCACATCTCCATAGTTTGAAAGGTGGTTTACCTGTCCATGTTTTTTGCCATGTTTCCACTCTCCACTATACACAGCCCCACTGGCATATAAGAACTGTCCTTGACCATGACGCATGCCTTGAACGAATTCTCCCGTGTACTCGTTCATACGAGGGTACTGAGAGCATGGGACTCTTTTACAGAACCATGTGTGTGTTCCTTTTCCATCCTACATTAAGTAAGAAACTTCTGCTAAAATTTTCAGGACAAAATTATACAAAATCATAATATAGGGAATGACCCTAAAAATAAGGGCAAAGTTAGTAAATGACAGACCTGGATGCCATTTAACCACTGTCCACTGTATTGCTGATCCAACTGAAGCCATCTCATTGTTCCTTCTCCATGTCGGACATTGTTACTCCATTGTCCTTCATACACATTGCCAGATGGGTAACTTAATGGGAAACAAATCTATTTTATATATTTTTTCTAAATTTATAAAGAAAATAAATATTTATAAAGAAATGATTACTATCACACACCACCGCTTTCCCCAGCCCTCTCTGCAGTTGTTCACCCAGTCTCCTTTGTACCATGATGTGGATGCTTGATTATAGTACATTACCCCCTGTCACCATCACAGGGCACCAGTCAAGATATTTATTATTAAATGCATGTGAGGAAAATTGAGACAATAGATGTGTGTATGCACATACCTGCCCCTGTCTTTTGCCCAGATACCACTGACCTCTGTACACAGTAGAGGTTTTGAAACATTTGAACACTCCGACACCATGACGGACACCTTGGTGTAACTCCCCCTCATAAGTGCTGCCATCTAGCCAGGTGTAAGTCCCATGTCCCATGGGAACATTTAATTTAAAATTACCCTGCCGAATGCAACAGTTCATTTTGCTATGAATAATTAATGGCTCCAATCAAAACACTGGGGTATTATGTGATTTATCTAAACCTAGCTAATGTAAATCTTCATGTAAATTATTGACTTCCATGAACTCTTTACATACCTGATACTTTAAACCATCTGACCAGATATATTCACCAGAACCATGCATCAACCCATGTGAAAAACTACCCTAATGAATGCAAAATGGTAAAAATAATGAAATAATGTTTGGTAATTTAAGGTTTTCAGCATAGACTGTAAAAAATGGTTTTCAAGCAGAATCTGTGGTCTACTCTGAAGTTCCCTGAAGGTATTTCAGGGCAGGGGTTCAGTTTTGTGATAAAAAAATATTGAATTTATTTCTCTTTCCTCCCTTACAACATTAATATTTTTCTTTTTAAAAATATAACAAAAGATCTGTTAAGTAATATATAATGTACAGTAGTAATGTTAGCAATGTTCTTAATAAAAGTTGAGTACATTTAAATTAGATTTACATTTTTATACTGGATCTAAAGGTTGAAAACCTCACCACTCACCTTGTAAATGTGGCCACCTTGAAAATATGCGACACCTTCTCCATGAATCATTTCTCCACACTTATCACCCTCATATCTGAGGAGAAAAAGATCCCAAACACTACAAAAAAAATAATTTGTCAACCAAGCTGAGTGTTATCTAACGTAAAAATGTCTAACCTTTCCACGATTATATGGTGAAGAATGGGAACTTTACGGCAATAATCATGTTCATTGTTTGGTCGATGCTCGTTCGTGTGCCGAGACATTGCAGAGAAGGAACACACAGCAGACCTCGAAGAGTCTTGTCCATCATCAGGCTCTGTGACGGACTCCGAAACTAAACTGGACGTGAAGGACTGTCCTAACACTTTACTTAACGTTGGTTCTGGCGTAGATCTGTTAGAACTTATTTTTTGTCCTTTAGCCATCGCCGGTAGAGAGTCAGAATTATTCGCTAGTTCACCGACTAGCAAACATCCCTTTGGAGTAATAACACGGTACAGGTTGCTAAGCAATGTTACAGTACGGCAAGTTAGAAGGGTCAAACAAAATATTAGAAGGTCTAGGGACCTAATCACATTTTTTTTAGACTCCAAATAATATTTCTCAAATTAGTTTTATTTTTGAAAGTCAGCTTCTGTACAAGCTCTCCAAAAAATTACAGTAACACTTTACAAGAATGAACAATACTTCTACAGCATTTATTAATCTTAATGTTAATTTCAACATTTACTAATACATTATTAAAATCAAGTGTTGTATTTGTTAACATTAGTCAATGCACTGTGAACTGACATGAACAAACAATTAACTGTATTTTTTTAAACTAACATGAATAAATACTGTAACAAATGTATTGCTCATTGTTAGTTCATGTTAGTTAATAATACATTAACCAATGTTAACAAATGAGACCTTATTGTAAAGTGTTACAAAATATTTTTTTCTGAGAAAAAAGAAACAAACAAAAAAACTGTTAACCAAATATTTTTGGAGGCCATTGACTTCCAGCATACGGATACACAAAACAATAATATATTTCTCAAAATACCTTATGTTTCACATAAGAAAAAAACATCTTGCAGGTTTGGAAAGACATTAGGGTGGGTAAACCATGACATTTAAAAAAAAAAAAAAAAAAAAAAAAAAAATTGTGAACTATCCCTTTAAATTAATTATTCATATTCTATACAAGCACTAGGGGTTTATAGATTTGCACCTTTAAAATGTTTACTAATTTTTAAGAAATAAAAAATACAAAGCCTCCAAAAAAGTGACATTACAGTTAGATAAAGAATTAGGAGCTCAAACACATTAAAAAAACATGAGAAAGATGCTTTATTATAAAAAATACAAATAATAATAAAATCCTTAATTAAAACAATAGTGTTTGACAGTCAATATAAAATTCACAGGCAAACTCAGCAAAAATAAAGTGTTTCAGTCGGGAGAAACCATATCCAGATTAGCAAGGTGTCTCATGGTGGGTCTACCATGTGGACAATTCCAGGGCTGTTCAATTTCACCCATGTGAAGCAAAAGTTTCTTCATTTCACTGATGTTGAGGGCAGTGCCAACCATCACCTGTGTAAACAGAAAAACAGAACAAACTGTTCATATAAAAACTTAACAAAAAGAACACAAATATGCAACGGCTCAATCACAGACTCTGATCTTCCTTTACAAGTTTTTATTTGGGTTTATACAGGTGGATTAGAACAGGGTTGCAAAATATTCCTGTCTGAAAAGTTAGCTGCCCTCACCGATTTGCGACAAGCCCTGGATGCAAACATTTGCCTAACTCGAGAAGGTCGACACATGATTCCTGGACTGTCGCTAAGCATGAAGATGAGTTCTTCAATGTCACTTGGGCCAAAGGTCCAATTCTTACTTGTAGGTAAAGACACCAGCTTCACCCTCTCCATAACCTGAGCTGATAAACACACCACATCAATTTGAAGGAATATGTACCAGATACAATCCTGAAAATCTACTACAGTAGATAACCCACCATCCTCATCAATGAGGAAGTCAAATCCATTCTTTCTGAAGATTTCAAGGTTTTCCATGAGCACCGTTTCACTGATTGCTGGGAGGTGGAGATTTTGTGGACTGCATATGGAGAAAGAAAATATAAGTTAGCTTTAAAATAAATACCAGCTACCAGTTCCACTTATCTGTGCGGATTGTGACTTACACTATGAGCCTCTGTCCCTTTAAGACCGTATTCTGTTGGAGCATCTCAAAATTGTACTTTTCATCTGTGGCATGCTGGTCGATTATGAAAAGGTCAGATTTCAGCTTGGTGATAATAAAACCCAGGTTGAACTGACCAATGATTTCCATATCCTTGAACATATCTTTACTGTAAAGAAAAGTTGAAACCTTGTAAATGGCATATAAACTCATAAACATGATGATTGCAGTACTTCAAAGGGATAGTCAGCCCAAAATAATAATTCTTTCATAATTTACTCATCCTCAGGTTGTTACAAACCAGTATGCATTTCTTTCTTCTGCAGAACATATTTTGAAAAAAGTATGGTAACCAAACAGTTTCAGTTCCAATTGACTGCTATTGTAGGGGGGGAAAAACCAATGCAAGACAACGGACAGCAATGGTTAGCAACATTCTTTAAAAATAAATAAATAAATAAATTCATGTTCAACAGAGAAAAGTGAGTCATACAGGTTTGGAACAACATGAGGGAAAGAAAATGACGATAGAAGTTTCATTTTTAGGTGAACTATCTCTTTAAGAGCTCAAACTAAAAAGATCAGTCTAACCTTATTTCTTTCTTAAGCTCGTCCTCAGCACTATGGTTTTCTCCAGGGTTAATCTTCGCCCTGAACCGTCTATATTTTGGCTCTTGATCATTGTTCTCTGTCTTCTGAGCCTGCATCCTCTGTATCCTTTTACAAAGTTCTTGTAGAGAAAACTGCAAAAGCACAGTTTTCTTATGTATGCTGACAGGTGAATCCAATTGCTGGGAGAAATTCTTGTTTTTGGAGTCCACCAAACATGCTGGAGGTTCATCTTCACGTCTAGCTCTTTTAGCTTCAGGACTGAAGATTCTTTCCTGGTGTTGTTCTGACTTTGTCTCTGGCACCAAAGGTGCATGACTCCAGAACTTCTTATTTACAGGTTCATCAATAGTCTCAGCTTTAACATCAGTTTCATCATATATAATAGGGTGTAAAACTGACTTGTTTTCTGAATTGTTTTCATGTAGAATCTCTGGATCATCTTTTGCAGAACTTTGGTTTGCAGCCCCAGAATCATCAGCATCACTATCAAAGGTGCTTTTATATTTAGCTAAACAAACAGTCGATTTAATGGAAGTAACAGCCGCAAAACTTGGAGAGGATTTTAAAGGTGGCCTCATGTCAGCAACTTTTTTAGAGCAGCTCACAAAGGAAAACATCTTCTTCTGAGAAGGATCAGCACAAACAGCTTTATGACTAGACTGCTTTGACCCAATTCCTGGAGCCTGATGGTTTGAAAATGCTTGTTTAAGTCCTGCTAGATTGATGGAAGTCTTTGGGGGCCCTTCATCTGGAAGAGCTTCAGAGGCTGAAACTGGTTCACAATCTTCTGTACCAGTGCTTGTCTTAGTTGGTCTACCTAGGCCTTCAAGAGCAACATCAACATATATAATGACACTTCAAGACAACACATGAGCTGTCCTAAAAGGTCTGAAGTACTTACCTGTAATTGCTGGAGAAATGTGATTGAGACTTATTTTATTGACACCAATCTCAAACATAGCAATGAGTGAGCTTTTTAGAATGGCCAGCAAGAGTTTTTCCTCTTGTAGAAGGATTTGACGTTTGTCTGGAGTGACATTCACGTCGACACAGTCTAAAGTGAAACAAAGAATCAAAACACAGGATTAAATGAGAAGTTTAAAAATACTTCATTAAGCATTTATATTCTACATACTTTGTATTATATACACTACAGTTTAAAGGTTTCTGAATGACTATTTAAATATTTTCAAAAGTACAGATATACAGTAAATTGTTAAATATATATATTTTTTATATATTCTATTTTAATCTATTTTAAAATGTCATTTATTTCCGTGATCGCAAGGCTGAATTTTCAGTCTTCAGTGTCACATGATCCAGAAATCATTCTAATATGCTGATTTGGTGCTCGAGAAACATTTCTTTTTAGTATTAACGTGATTCTTTGATGAAGAGAAAGTTTAGAACAACAGTTTATTTAAAATAGAATTTTTTGCAACACCTGTCAAAAGTGACAGTAAAGACATTTAAAATGTAATTCCTCTTGCTGAATAAAAGTATTTATTTCTTTAAATACCTAATAACCCAAACTTTTGAACAGTAGAGTATACACTTATTTACAATCATATACAATATATTATATTATATAAAGTACACTAATTTCATTTCTTAATTTTTAAGTCTTACCTGAAGCGACAGTGATGTTTAGAGCGACAAATGGGTATTGATGCCGATTGTACATGTGATAAACCTCATTCACAAGCTTGGAGACCTGCAAATATTACAAACAAATATGAACGCATCATACTTATTACATATAATTTATTTACATTATAAACACAATAATACTTATATAAAAAGACCACACCTTTACTGGATCACAGGGTCTTTTATTGATAAAGAAGAACTGTCTGTCAGTAGCACTTCGACCAACACCATGATCCCCTTGTGACACAAACCCTTCGATGCTAGAATGCAATAATACACATTAAACATCACTGTACACAGGAATATCCAAGATATAATATGGTTTTCATTACCTAATTTGCGCCGAATTGGTAATAAGTCAATCGTAGATAGACCCACAAATGAATATGTTTACACAGAATAGCTTACATGAAAAGGTCTTTTGGAACATCTACCCCACAGAGACCATAGTCTTCCTTAATTGATTCATTGGGAGATATTTGTTGAAAGGGAATCAAACTTTGTAGCTGAGGACAAATAAAAATGTGACACAGTATGTTACTCTCAAACAACAGGGACAAACAATAATGCAGGTACTCTGTTAGAATAATATGATAGTGTGTTATGTTGGTCAATTTTGGTTTTAAATAGGTTATTCTCACCTGTTTAGGTCCAAACACAGCTCCAATGTTGTCTCTCATGCTGTTACTGCCGCTGGTGCACAGTACTGTGGTGCGCTTGCCTTGTCCCATCTGGTTAGTGCATGTAATACGCACACCAGTGGAGATGATGCAGTAGGATTGCAAGACGAAAATCATCTTGGAATAATCCTGTGAAGAAACTATTTAATTCCTTCCTAAACATGGATACAAACCCATGTACCCATATATATCCCCGCAGACCTTTTTGATGTTGCGCTGGAACTCCTTGTGTCGAACAGGTAACGTGGAGAAGAGCTTCTGAAGAGTGACGGTAGTGCCGTGCTGACGGGGATGCGGCACACGCTCAGTGAGACGACCATTGTGGTCATACACCAGCCGAGCTCCGATCTGAGCGCTCTCATGACAGGTCACGACACTAAGATCACTGCGGATATTGAACAGTGTATATTAAGGAAGCACTAGAGAGTTTAATAAAAAATATCAGTACATGATCAATTGTGAGATCATCATTGTGCTATAATCATCAGGCATTATGTAATGCTCATACTGTAAGAATTAAGAAGACACATACAAAGTAAAGTGTTACCTAAGAGCACAAAGTGAGCTGAGAGCTTCACCGCGGAACCCAAACGTCTCCACGTGTATCAGGTCGGAAAAATCTCTTAATTTAGAGGTATGATGTTTTAAAGCTGCAGATGTGGAGAAGACACAGATAGGTACACTACCCATCAAAAGTCTGGAATCATTAAGACTTTAAAATGTTTTTAAAAGAAGTGAAAAATTATTACTATTAAAAATGTAATATATTTTAAAATGTCATTTATTCCTGTGATGGAAAGCTTTCGGTCACATGATCCTTCAGAAATCCTTCTAATATTCTGATTTAGTGCTCAAGAAACATTTCTTATTATCAATGTTCGAAACCGTTGTGCTGCTAAAATATTTTTAGCATAGCATTTATTTAAAAATATTCATATCTAACACTAGAAATGTCTTTACGGGCACCTTTATTATATATATAATTGTATTATATATCTATGAAAAAAAGAAACATCTTAATTTTTATAAACTTTTGACCGGTAGTGTATGCATGCCAGACTCTTGTATGTCCAATGTTCAGAAAAAGGCAACTTACTTAGTCCCTCAAAGTTTTGCTCCTCTACACCCTTTCCATTGTCTGACACTTCCACCAACTCTGTTCCACTGTCTTTTAGCTTGACATCTGTAGGAAAACAAAACAATTGACCAAATGTAGCATTATCTCAAACGCAACGTTTCCTCATGCTGTCATCCCTTGAGCTCACCAACATTAGTGGCACCAGCATCAATGCTGTTCTCCACCAGCTCCTTCACAGCTGTGGCCAGACTCAGCACCACCTGTCCAGAGCAGATCTGATGCACAGACTGTTTGTCTATTGCCTTTATGGCTCCAGCAGAATCCATGCTAGGATTTTAAAATACAGACTATGAGAGCAAACAGCATGAAACATTAGTAAACAGTACTGTACAATACTGTAGTAAAACGTGTTTCCAGTATAGCAGACAGAGATGGGCAGTATTTATGATACATGTATTTCAAATATAAAATAGGATTTTGTCATTTGTATTTGATAGGGTTGATGAAAATGGCTTCATATTTTGTATCAAAATACTTTAGTGTTCTGTATTTTTGTAGTTTTAAAATACTTTGTAAGAAGTCTACATGATGACATCATAAAAATGCGGCCTCTGATTGGTGCCTAATCAATCGTTTGCCCAGACATGTTGAGATCAGAACAGAAAATTGATCCATATGGAAGAAGGTGGTCAAGGTAAGAAACGTGCAGGCTGCCAGTTTTCCATATATATTTTTTTTTTGCATAAATTGCAATAATTTTTAACAGTTCATGACAAGTTTTGGTGTTCGTTTTAGTAGTAGTGTTCTATAAATAGTTGACCAATTTACATAATGTTCTTGAAAACTAGTATACCGAGCAGCAGCCCCACAGTTAACATTAGCTTGCTACTTTCAGGCTATGTTAAGTTGTAAAAAAAAATAAAAAAAATAAAGTTGCTATAAATACAAGTGCTATAGTTGTCATTGAGTCGGTATTGCTGATGCAAAATAGGCCCTTCGTTACCAAACACCAAGTAACTAAATAAGGATACAGTTATGTGTCATTCGCATACTGTTAAACTGTTGGTTAACGTTACTTTAAAACTAACCTTCATCTGGGAGATCACCGGGATATGTGAATATTTGATCTGTTAACTGGTTGCATATGTCAGATTTATTGCATGACTCGATACATGGTGTGGCTGCTGTACTTTGTGGTTTATTTTGATACACTTAAAATTAAGGTATTTGGTATTTTATTTTAAAATACATTTTGATGTATCTTTGCCCAACCCTGATAATCTCACTTGTCTAGTCTAGTGTTATTTCTCGTTGTTATAGTGTAGAAACCTATTGGAAACGGAATATGCAAAGCTTTAAAAACTTACCACGAATCTGACATCATTTCTGTAACAGTATGGTTACAGACGCTTAACTTTGCATTGTGGCTATTTTGATAGCTTTTGCTCCCTGCGGTATTCAGAAGAAACAAGGAGCAGGAATTGAATGTGTTTTCATTGCTCAGTGTGAAAAACCAATTATTAGTCAAGAAAAAAAAGCTATGATAAACTACAAACTATATCATATATACCAATAAACGCACGCGCATTACTGCGTCGCTCTACGCTGCTTAGTCTGAATACGTTCCCGCCCGCGTCGTGACGCAAACCACCAGGTTTACCACGTTTTGCGTCCGTGACATGTGATCAACTGTTGCCTACTGTCAATTTGTACCGTCGGCTGTTGTATGATCATCTTTCTTTTTTTATTACTTTGTTATGCCAAGTTAATCTTTAACTTAATGCATTTTTCCCCTGTGCATCTATGTGGAAACAAATTTTCCAAAAACGGATATATATATATATATATATCTATATTATATATATATTTCTCCAATTCTCCTAGTTTAATAATCAGTTAATTTTATTGATGTATAATTGCGATGCTTTGTAACAAAACCAAAGTACCAATTTTAACGTTTTATTTTGAAACATTTCATCATCCTGCACGTGGTTGTCTGGGTAGGGACTGTGTGCAAAGTTCAAATCTGATAATTGCCGAAACTGACACTGACACAACAAAATTGTCAATGTCATTGTCTGTATAGAGATCCAAGTAGACTAAATCTACAATCCATAAACCAAACGTATATTCGATTAACAGTTTGATGCATTATGGTTTTCTTTGTTCATCATATATGAAGACAGTTTTGAGATACTTCCTTACTCCTGTCCCTTCAAACATGGCAGGCTACTGTCAGTTTACGATGATATTTTTATTCGGCCAGTTTTAAAACTTGTGAGTGGGGTTTGCCCAATCAAAAGGGTTGGGTTTTCGAAAGTTGACCCTTTGTGAATAGATCTAATGAATGTGATGCACTGAAGTGTTTTTTCAGAAAAAAACGTCATGTTTCACAAAACAGAGACTCTAATGGCAGAAGAAAGTTCGAGTAGCGGTGTAGTTTCCAATCTGAAAAGCCGTAGCCTTCATATCCGACGGGGCCTTTTCACTCAAGACAGAGGACCTAAAGGAGGAATGTTCAGCCTGACAGATACGGAGGATGACGTCCAATTTGACAGTGAGTGCACTCCAACGGCAATATTGTACAGCCCCTTTTATTCATGGCATAGCACTGTTATCAGAGTAGTCTCTTAAAACAAAACAGGGCGTCTGTAAAAATTGGTGTTAGTTCTATAATTAATATTTACTCTTTTTGGATGTTAGAGACTGTAAACATCAGGTACAAAAATTGTCAAAGTAGTATGTCCAAATGACTAAAATGTAATAATGCAGTTTAAAATATAATTAATATTATACTTAATATTTCATCTGTGGGACGTTCTTAGGGGTGTGGGGGGTAACTTGAAACTGTTTCAAGCTGATAAGTGACTTAGACCTTACCCACCCCTGATGTACAAACAAGATGCAGCATTGGTATATTTATATTTGCTCAGCTGTTAAGAGGGTACAGTAAATGTTTGGTGTCTAAATGGATTCAGCGGGAAATAACATTATAGCCTTAATTGCCAAAGTTATTGCTGAAGGTAAGACACCTCCAATCCAAGTTGTTTTAGACTAATTTTGGTCAATTTCTTTATATACATATATTATTATTATTTTTAATATTCAAACATATTACTATTCACCAGCCTTTGTATTTTCCATATAAATCCAGCCTCAGACTCAGACAATAACTGTGAGGTGTTGCTGGCGGGGAAACAGTATCCGTCGATCCAGGAATTTGCCTCTGCCATTCCCAACCAACTGCTGCTGGGATCTCTACTGGAACACTTGTGCTTTGTTTACGAGAGTGATCCCACACGCTCACGCATGCTGTTTAAAGGTAAGCGTCATTGATATTAGCTTATAAAAGGCAAAAATTTTAAAATTTACTATTTGTCTTAAAATGTATGTTCTCAAATGCCTCTGTTGTTTCAGTGATGGGCCAGCATTTAGCAGCCATGAACCTCCTCTCTCCGCTGGCTATCAGTGATGAGTTCAGCACAGTCCGACTACAGCATAACCGGGCGTTCACAGAGCTCCTGCATGCGACCAGCTCATCGCTTTTCCCACTGGTAATACAACTTAATTCATCATCAATGTCTTTTTTTTTGTTGTGATTTCTGTCCAGCTGTTGCTTTCATCAACAAAACCAAAATTCTTATTTTGCCCTATCTGTTCATCTTTTGGATTTTGCAGGAACATAGATATTTGAGTACAGAAGGCCAGAGTCTAAGGTGAAAACATTTACACTTGTAGCACCTCCACTTACATTGCTTTGTAATACTGTTCAAAAGTTCAGGGTCTGTCAGATAGGGTCAGATTTTTTAAAAGTATATTATATGCTCACTAAGGCTGCATTTTTTTTATCAAAAATACATTAAAAAAAGAGAAATATTATGAAATATTATTACAATTTAAAATAACTTTTCTAATTTAATTTATTTTGAAATCTTATTTAGTCTTGTGACGGCAAACCTGAATTTTCAGCATCATTACTCCAGTCTTCAGTGTCACATGATCCTTCAAAAATAATTTGAATAAGCTGATTTGGTGCTCAAGAAGCATTTCTTATTATTATCATGATAATGTTCAATGTTGAAAACAGTTTGCTTTATATTTTGTGGAAATCGTGATATATTTGAGGATTCTTTGATGAATAGAATGTTCAAAAGAACAGCATTTATTTGAAACCGAAATAATCGTGCTTTTACTTTTGGTCGATTTAATGCATCCTTCCTTTTTAAAAATCGTAATGACCCCAAACTTTTAAACGACAATTTATAGTATTATAACATTTTAAATAATTGAGATATGCTTTTCTATCCTAGAACCAAAGATGGTCTTTTCCAAGCACAGACATCTCGTTACCTTAGTGAATTTGAAGAAATCGCAACACTGGGTAAAGGATCCTATGGCAAAGTGTTTAAGGTAAGAAAAAGTTTTAATCATATTGTGCTCCAAAGATGGAAACCACATATTGTTGAAAGGTGAGCACTAAAACAGTCATACTATTTTAGGTCACAAACAAGCTTGATGGTCAGGAATATGCTGTGAAAAAAATTCTAATCAAGAAAGTAACAAGAGACGACTGTATGAAGGTAAAGTATGTCACAGATTCAGTTATTATAGTTCTAATATACCCCCATATCTGTATGATTTAGATATTATATGCCATAACATGTCTTTTTTTTTATCTCCTCGCAGGTTCTTCGAGAGGTTAAAGTGCTCTCCAGCCTTCAGCATTCCAATATCGTTGGCTATCACACTGCATGGATGGAGCACGTTCAGCCTGCTGTGAAAAGTACATTTTTATAATGTGTTCTCAATAACATCGGTTACATTAGGAGATATACCCATTTAAATCATATTTAGGTTGTATTCAGTATTTCTGGAATCATACAAAAATGGTGCAAACTTGTAAAATTTTCTGTTTATCTCACTAGATCCAAAATCCCTTGTTTCACAAACGTTTCCAGCATTAGAGAAACCATCACAGAAAGATGGGTAAGAAGGTTTGAAACATTTTGTCCAACACAAATAACTTATTGTAACACGTTTACACTAGTATATTTGAAAATGCATCTTGCTTCAGGTGCACGCAGGAAAACACTAACAGCAGCAATGGATCGTCCATTGTTTTTGAACATTCTGAACAAGCAGAAGCCAAAGAAAACCAGGCTACAACAGAAAGCATGTCAGTGAAACCCTCAACGTCAAAAGAAGAGATGGGACATGCTGTTTGCCCCAAAAATGTCCGCAACCCACAGAACTTTGTTCCATGTGTGTTTCTGGGAAAGCCTCGCTCTATGGTGAGCAAATGCCCTGCAGCTAAAAGGGACAGCTCAACACTCTCAGGGGACGACCTCAGTCAAAACAGACTGGAATTGAACAATAACAATAACTCTTACATTGATATGGATACTACTGAATGGTCCGAAAAGCAGGCGCAAGAGGTATACGGTCCACTGAATGTAAACCATTAATTTAATTGAAATGAGAAATAATTATCTTGTAATCTTTTACAATGTTGTTTATATTATGTTTATGCTTGTTCCTGCCAATAGGTTCAGTTCCACTTAATGCTTTATATACAAATGCAGCTTTGTGAGCGATCTCTGAAAGACTGGATACAAGAAAGAAACTCAAGAACCACGACGGGACTCTTGATGTCAGTAGGTGAGATCACTTTATTCATAAGAGTTATTATATTTTACAGTATTTAAACATTTATACTTCCTTCTTTAGAAGTCATTTAATAGGTAGAATGTCTCATACACTTAAATACACCCTTCCTAAACAGGAAAGACAAGAAAAACTGATTGGCAGAGCTAGATGTTTTGAACCTACAATCACAGCTTATAATTATATTGTTGAATTATTTGGAGCAATTTTTAACCAATACATTCATCCACAGATCCTTGTGAGTCATTAGACTGTGAACACGCATTGAAGATTTTAAAGAAAATACTTGAAGGAGTGGAGTACATTCATTCCCGTGGTATTATGCACAGAGACCTAAAGGTATGTGTATTTATTTTGTTGGTTTACATAACTTGGTATTGTGCACCATACATTTTTCTAGTTCATGTATCTGTAAACTGTAGCATTTGTTTAAAATGATAGGAGGCCTAGAGTTTTGATAACAGATATTGGGCAGGTGTGGCACAACAATGTGCAAACTTGTGCTTTTGAGGTTAAACTTAATACTAAATCGCACTGAACAATTACTTTATTAATTTTACTGATACATCCAGTGGCCTCATAACAGTTTATAGCCAGCATAACATTTAACAGAATTAAAAAAATAAATGACCATCGGGCCCTAGAAAAGAAGTTGCAGTCAATTTGACCAACACTTTCCTTATCCCTTACAAACAACCTCTTTATCTGTTTGTCACAGGAAGGTTTGATAGTTCTGGTAATACCCCTGAATCCCCTTTGGATCTTCACACATATTGTACTTAACAAAAGGCTAGAACACACCTATGGATTTCCTAAACAAATCAAATTTTCATCAGCGATTAGGTTAAAACTGTTAATTTTGGATATTTATTACAGTGGATATTCTATCTGTGTAACAATAAAAACCTGATAAATTAAAGAAATAAAATAATTTATAATGTAAAATCTGTACTTGAA